ATTTCTGATGATTTTTGGCATCTCCTGAAGTACAAGGTTCATGAACATTCCGCCCACTATCTCTGCGCCTGTACCACGGACTGCCACACTTTGTAACGGGATGCTAACTGATCACGCTCATACAGTGTCAGGCCTTGTTACCATTCTAGCCTACACTTGTCACTCGGAAATAAAAATTAGTAATGAAATCATTTTAGGGTTCACAATATATTTAGTTTTATGCAAACCTTCTTTCCACCCAACCTGTATTCCTGCTATAGGAAATTATCATTATTATCCATTGATTTATATGAACCAGTGTCGCCATCTTTGTTGTTATAGTCAAAACATATGGGCTATTCTTGTTATATGGAATTATGACTGATACGGACTGGTGCATTTAAAATATTCACTTCGTCTTCGTTGTTAAAATCTCAATACTTTGGTTATATCTTAGGAATTATGATTATTATACAAAGTTTTATTAAAAACGATATCCTCATCTTGCTTGTTATAATCACAATGTTTTTGTTATTTCTAAGATGTGGAATAGTATTTTGATAGTTTCCTCGTTAGGGTTGCTATAAGAAAAGCCTATTTCCTGTCTTTATTATTCAATTCACCCCACGCAAGGCAATAACACCACTAAGACATTGAAAGTAAAAGAGAAGCAAAAAGTCTTTAGAATGAACCAGAAACCCAATGCTAAGCAGGAAACAAGTGATAAGTCTCTACTCTTGTGCAAACGGCCGGGGAGGAGTGTGAACCGTGCGATGATTTCGAATAAATGTCATGAAAGTTATGTAACGAATAGAAGATTCGTTCTTATCGTAGATCTTATTAGGCACAATAATAGATTAACAACAATAACTAATAATAAAACAGAACAATTATAATAATACTAGTGTAACCGTCAGGTCAAAATTGACGACAAGAAGGAATGTATTATAAATAATATGTATTGTATTGTAAGTAATTTTCGTACAACTTATGTAATATAAAATAGTTCGTTGCTAACGTTAATATTTAATCAATATACAATTTATAAACACCTAAGGAGAGATATCTGTATATTATCTTCATAAATGTTACATATTTACAAGCAAAATTATATTTAGAGCAAAAGTTCCCAAAGCACAATATTTTTTTTATGTAAACTTTAAAAGATTTGAGTAATCCTTGAGATTCCGTAGATTCAATCTGTAATTTCAATGCCTGATTATTTCTCGTCCTACAAAGAGCAATGAATCATGTTATTTTTAAAAATTTTTTGTCCCAACATATTTTTTTTTTATAATTTTTAAAGTTTAAAATGAATGTCTAAAAATGAACAAAACATTCTTGAAGATATATGGGCGTATTACATATACAAACCCTCTTCGATAGTGATATCAGTACGCGTCACCGGGACCAATTTAGCACGGCACCGGGTGGGGTCATCGTTATTTTGCACACTGCCCTGGTATTTTATTTATAGATACTGTCATAGAAGTTATGTGACGGTTAAAAGATTAAAAAAATAGCATCATTTTTTTTTCTTTCGTTTTTAAGCTTCCATCTTTTCACTTAAAAAGAACATGTTTGTCTATATTTCTGAGATGAGGTATTATGTACCAGTATTTACATTAGTCGGACTATTGTCCTCATCTTTGTCGCCATATTTGTCAAAACGTTTCGGCCGTTGTACGCTCCGGCCTTCTTCAGGTTGGAATTTGAATAAACCCTTTATTTCGATCGCTGGGGTAGACTGTTCTAATTCCGTGCCATGTTTGATGGATGTCCGTTATCAGTTATCTCCTGCTAATTTTCCCTCTGAAAGTTCTCCACTGCCTTAACCAGGAATTGAACTCACCTTCTTTTGTCTGTCACTGGATCTAACCAACGCCTTTATCCACTGTGCACAGTGGATAAAGGCGTTGGTTAGATCCAGTGACAGACCCAAAGAAGGTGAGTTCAATTAACAATTAAAATTAACAGGTGATAACTGATAACTGACATCCATCAAACATGGCACGTGGAATTAGAACAGTCTACCCCAGCGATCGAAATAAAGGGTTCAGTTCGAAATTCCAACCACCTGAAGAAGGCCGGAGCGTACAACGGCCGAAACGTTGTGACAAATATGGCGACAAAGATGAGGACAATAGTCCGACTAATGTAAATACTGTTAAAAAGAACATTTAACTAGTTTTGAAGGAAATATAAAAACACTTTTTATCGCTAATAAGTTTCACTCTTTTAAGGTTGGAACTAATGTAACTGCCTAATCATGAAATTTTCTCCCTTGGATAGAAACAAATAAATAAATATTCCATTTCTCGACCTCAACCCTCACAAAAAATAAGAACTTGGGAAAATCTTGCAGTCTGTCGTGAAGCCCGAAATAGATAACACGTTTCTGCCCTCCCCCACTTCTTTGCCAAATCCCTTTAAAAAAGGCTTTTCTTTCGTAAATCCGAACTACAATCGTTACTAATCTGGCACTTTGGTTTGGTTTAGGTTTTGTTTGGTTTGGTTTTGGTTTGGTATGGTTTTGATTTGGTTTGTTTGACGGCAATACTCAATGGGTTATTTAATGCCGACAAAATTTTATCGCTGGTAATAATTTTTTTCAAAAATCTATTCCTGGTAATATTTTCTTCTTCAAAATGTATGGCTGGAAATATTTTTTTCAAAAAAAATGTATAGCTGGTAATTACGTATTGTTGCTAATAATTTTTACAAAGTATTTCTAGTACTAAAACCTTTTACACTTTTATAGCGTTTTGACACCAGTTTGGGGGTCAACTATTTTCCCATAGCTGGGACCCTAACAGGTGCTACGACCACAGGCCAAGGTGGACCTGGGAACACCAACAATTAAGAGGTGGTTCCACGCACCTCAAAACCTCCTGATTAGAATCCTTACTGTTGGACGTAGTTGATCATCTTTACCCAAGACGCGCATGTAGTTTATCGTCATACCCAGGACGGGTGGCACTTTGGAAGCGTTATGAGTTGTTTTTTTTTTGTTTTTTTTCAGGCTTTGACTGCGTGGGACTGAAATCACTGAAAGGAAACACTACTAATTTTTAACTTAGTCTGGTACAGGGACATACCAGCGTTTTCAAAGATGAGCTTGCACAATATCTCTTGGGATTCCCAGCATTACCTTCCGAAGGAGAGGAGAATGCTGCGTATGTATTTTCTCTGATTAACGTTCAAGCATCAATCCAAAAATAATTAATTTATACTCGTTTATTCAAAATCACGCCTTCTCTCTCAATAAAATTTGACGTTCCCGCTTCTGCTCGTCTAATGCATGCAGCTGCAATAGTTCATTGACATGAATTCATAGAACGAGTTTAATCGTGCCGAGACGAAAGAATAGCAAGTGAAAATAACCATCTGATTGACACGAGGGCCCACATTCAATCGTAATCATGGACGCACGTATCTGCGAATACAATTCAAAAAAGTGTCTTCATAAAGATAAGTTAAATGTGAGAATTCATACCAAAAAGTCTTCAGATAAAGAAATTTCGAAAGAAAAAAAAGTTTTCGCGATTTCAATAGAAAATACACTGAAAAGGTCAGAGTAATATTTGTCCTAACTGAATCGAATGAATGTGTTGAGAAAAAAAAATGATTTTTCTTGTATTTTTCTTCTTTGTTCACTTCTTTTATACTCTTTTCGAAGTCGTTCTTCTCAATGGATTATATTTCTTAGATTCAATGAAGAAAACGAGTTAGATTTTTTTCGTTACAGAAAGTCCCTGAAGATAATAAAAATCGTTAAAGATCGAAGGTCTATTATTATTATTTTTATTATTATTATTATTATTATTATTATTATTAATTTTTTATTTTCGTCATTATTATTATCATCATCATTATTATTATTGTTGTTGTTCTCGTTGTTGTTACTGTCTTTCATTGTTATCTTGGTCTTGGCCAACTTCATATTCAGGTTCGACAATTTTTCTTGTCCCATTTCTATTATTATTATTATTATTATTATTATTATTATTATTCACTGTCTTTTTAGCTAACTTGATTCTCTCTTTCTATGTCTCCTTTTCATCAATATTATTATTATTATCATTATTATTATTATTATTACTATTATTATTAACATGCCAACAAAGTGAAATGGTGCTGCTAATATACGCCCCCCCAATGTACTCATAATGACAGCCAGGAAGTATGAGGGTATACTAGGTACATGCATCACAGCCAAATTTTTGTCAAAAGTAGCACATAACCTCAGACAGGTGAGGTCCAGTTAAGAAAATCTTCAGGTCTGCTCAGATGATCTCCGATGGAAGGTGTTCCCAACTATCTAGACGTAAGTCCCAAGTTACCGTGGCTGCCTCATCCTTCAAACTTAAAAAAAGATATCCTCTCGACGCCTGGTCAGGGTGTTGACCCCCTTACTTCGGCACATGAACAGAGATCTACAGTACGTCACGACATACCTAACTGGTATGCGCAGATCTATGATACGGAATAAGATATTCACTGTAGGTTATATTACTTCACCAAGACAAACATGTACATGTTAACACATCCACATAATTAGAATAGAACCATGCATGTTGTATTAGTAATAATAATAATAATTATTATTATTACTAGTAGTATACTAAATGTTCCACACACATACACACGTAGGCATACCCACAGACACACGCAGGTACAACACCGATCCTAAGTAGACTTGTCGGGCGATACTTTCAAAAGTATCGTCCGACGAGACCGCCAGATCGAAACTGTGGTTACGTATTTTAATTGACCTGCCGAATTTTTAACCTTAAAAGCTCTACATGTTATTTTTATTTTTACATATTTTTCTCACGTGTATTGAGCAATTTTTAGTACTACTGTTCCTAGTCCGATTCAACTTTGACCATTAACCTTCATATATATATATATATATATATATATATATATATATATATATATATATATATATATATATATTCGGACAGAAATTAAGTTTTCATTCATGTGGATATTTTTATAATTTACTTTTACATAAATAATTCCGACATTTTTACAGGTACCACGATAGTATGTTAATAGTTAACACATACTATAAAAATGACGAAAATATTTAAGTAATTTAGCAATTTTATTTTACTACAAACCAAAAACCATTCTGTATTTTCTTGTTTCTGTTCAATACATCCTGATTATTAAACTAAACAAATTATTTTCTCTGTGATTCTTTTTTTTTTTTACAATTTGGAAAGAGAAAAATAAATGTTCTCCGCCGACAGGATTCGAAACATCTGCGTCCCCCTTTGAATCCTGCCGGAGAGCGCATAGTTGTCTTTAATATGATTTCTCGAATTCTCAGGCCGGAATACGAAAATAAATCTACTGTTTAATAAATAAACGCACCGTCTACTCAAATATGGATATCCACTAAATAAATAACGTTTAAGTAATAAAATGAGTCGGATTAATAAATAAAAAAACCATTACTTCTTTAGAAATTGTTTTGTTTACGTTAGGATAAGAAACTGAGCAGATATGTCTATTTCGAGAGTCCTGGAATGATTTGCATTTAAAGGCACCATTCAACTTTGCTTGATCATCGACACACATTGTGGCCGGATCTAACGACGGTTAGATTTAAGTTATAAACTATTTTTATTACTATGAGCCACAACTATCAGCCTTAGGTATCCTGCAATTTTTCTTCACCACGTTTTGGAATATTTTGCCGTTCCTAAGAGGCTTCCTTTTTGCAACAGTTCCACTGGGAAATCAATGTCAATTTCCTTTATCAATGTCTCCATTTTGTCAGTCACTGTGACAAGTGCTCCAATGACAACTGGTTAGAGTGTGACTTTCTTCAACATCCAAAGCCTTGCGATTTCAAACTCCAATAAGTTCATTCCTGTCACTTTTTCTTTTTTCCCTATCCTTGAATCAAAAGGACGCAATGAATCAATAATTAAAGCCTCTTTTTCTGTTTTATCATCCACTAAGGTGTCTAAATTTTTTGTACTCCAGTTTCTTATCTATTTGTATTAAGAAATCCTAAGGTCAGATATATCGACTGCACGTTTGTATAAAAAGAATAAAAATAAAACAACCTAAATTCCCACACATTTTCCATAGATAAAGCACTTCGTAGGGCGTGAATTATACTCATGAGGACATTTTTTTTTTTGTATTTCTTTCAAGGCAGTAATAATTTCTTAGTCCGATTCATCTCCTGAAATATGATCAAATGACCAAACAGTATTTTTTGGAATATTTTTTTGGACAGTTTATCAACCATATTGATTTCGATGTCTTTTTTTTTTCCTTTTTTAATCATTTCCCCTAAAGCAAGGCGGGAATGCCATTAGTACGCTGGGGCTTAGAGTGAGTGAAAGTGAGAGAAAAGACAGAGTATAGGGAGGATTGAAGAAACAACAAAAGATAAACTGGATTCAAGAAGATAGAAAATGTCGATTGACGTTGCATTTAAATTTTTGAAGATTGTATTTATCAGAGAATCAAGTAAACGGAAGGGAGTTCCACAGGCCGGAAGTGTAAGAAAAGAGGTGGTTGCATTTAGCTATTTCAACAGTAAACGGGTGGGATCTAGATGCCATGCAGTCATGGCACTAGGTATAAAAGTTCGTCAAAGGAGTTGACATGAAAATATTTATAGAAAAGAGAGAGGATTCGAAAATTGGAAAATACAATAACAAATAAACAGACAGACATTGCCGTTTAAATTTAACAATTAAATGTTTAAATAATAATAAAAACCAACTGTGATATCTGTTAATTCAACAGCTTCTTCTTATCCTGTTGTGCTGGACAGTGGCTTTGCGAAGCTTCAAGTCGCAAGATCAGTTATTTGAACATTTATGTATCTGCTAACTATTGTGACTCTATTTTAATATTGAACAAATTATTTTAAAAAATCTGCTCGCTTTAAACGCATTAGCCTACAATAATTTACTATTCGACGTATTTTGTTAGAGGTTAACGATCTTTATTACTACATTATGATAGATAGATACATAGATAGATAGATAGATACATACATACATACATACATACATATAAACATATTGAGATAGATAGATAGATAGATAGATAGATAGATAGATAGATATGAACAAAATGTCGATAGATAGATAGATAGTTAGATAGATAGATAGATAGATAGATAGATAGATAGATAGATAGATAGATAGATAGATCGATCCATCCAGTATGGTTCGATAGGTCTATAGCCTAGCCCGTTATGAGCTGAATATCCATTTGATAATTTTTCCGTCTCAGTTTAATCTGTGATTTATCTTTACCATTAAATAATCTGCATTGACATAAAAAAGAAATTGTGATGTAAAAAATTTCTTTATAAAAATATTTTTCTCATTAATCTACGGAATTATTAACTTAGCTAACTATTTATTTATATATTAAAACTCCCCCAGTCAAGTTTTAATTAATGCTTCAACCTATGTGTTCTTACGCCTTCTTCAGATGCGTGCTAAACCTTGTCAGTCTTGAGTGTCTGTTTATTTCTGCGCGATCAACTTGCTAATCATTATACAAAGAATGACAATCGGCCACTTTAGCAAATGTGTCTTCGAGGTTCCAGTTTTAACCCTCGCACTACTGTAGTCGCCCAGCAGAAATTGTTCCGAATGTTTATAAAATTCAAATTAAATATTTATTGAAAAAAATATGTACATCATTAAGTTTTACGTGAAAACGTAAATACAACCTTCTTCTTAACATCCAATGTTAAAGATATCTAGGAAGTGTCATGACAGAAAAATATGGCACTGAAATCCGAAGGAGCCCTGAAAAAGCGAAAGAAACCTTACAAAACTTCATGTAACATCTATATTCATATATGGCAGAGAATTTAGGACAATCTCTTCTCGGATAAAGAAGAGAATTTAGATTGCAGAAATGTAACTCGAGAAGGATGCCGAGAATATCATGAACATGACACGTGAGTAATGTGGAAGTTTAATAATGAGGAAAGGGGTGTTGGTGAATCTGACACTCACAGGACATGCTGAAGGCAAGAGATGACGTGGAGGGGGGAATAGCGAGTAATCGACTTAACGAGTTTTTGTAAAGAAATGGAAGAACACGGACTTTGAGAGAGAAAAAAGAGACAAACATTGCTTCGTGTGATAAAGTATAGAGAGATATGGAGAGGCATGACCGCCATTGTTACTATATTGAAAGATTAATGAAGCTGTTGGAGGAGTTTCCGTATTAAAATGAGCGAAGCTGGCACAAGCATTTACTGAAATATTCTTAATAAAACTTTTCTAAAATCCCAAGCAAGTCAGAGAAAACCGAATGGAACCATATTAACAGAAACAAAAACAAAAAAAGATGTGAATATTAGTCATAGTAATTATTTGGTTTATTTTTTACCGCTTATCAACCTTTTACAGGTTATTTAAAGCCAGAAAATATCTTTAGATGTTAAAAATTTTTTTAGGGATAATAATGATATGCGGATACAAGTCCTACTAATTAAACCATAGGTGGGGAGAGAAGCGGTGGATCCATAACATTCCCAAGGATATTTGCGTGTAAGTGAAAGTGAGAGCATTGATAATTCATGAAACAATGAAAAAGTTTCATTTCATCTCTTCACTTAATAATATAGAAGATCGAAGTACACTTCATCAAAAAGGAAGTGATAAAAACAACACTGATGAAGATATTCGTCTAAATAACTCTTTACAGAATAACAATACCTAATCTGGAGAACTGCGAACAATGCGAAATCGGTGCCCTTACATGACCCCTAATGTCCACATTTTCATTTCTTCCTATTCATCAAAAATAAAAATTGCCAAATGCCAATGCCCCCCACCCCAAAAAAAAACCCAGTTTACAACGTGATTTCCGTTGTCAACGTATTCATTGCTTGTCGGGTCATGTCATCCTATGCCACACTGCTCATACCACAACAAACATTTCCTTAAAATTGTTGTCAGCTACGCATTTTTTGTCGGGATATCAAAGTAAGCAAAAATAAAGGGATTGCTTTATTGGAAATCAACTCTGGGTGTTTCTTTAAGGGCGGAAGGAGAACGTGTGGGGAATGTTCCTTTATCTCCGGCAATAATTGATTCTGGATTTAGAGAAAGGAAATAAGATGGCCGAAGGTTGGGCAAGAATGTGTCGAGGTTCGATAAGAGAATGTAAGGTTTTGAGCGGGAAGAAGAATCTGTTTGGCTAATCAGCAAGATGTTAGCGTCGTTAAAAGAATTCAAGAATAAATAAAAGATAAAACATTAACAACTGTGTATCAATCGATTGTTCACGTTTGGTCTCAGTCGATAGACGAGGATCACTCCGAAAATAATAATTCCTATCTTATACCGTTGATCTACGATTCTTACTGTATCAGTAGAGGTTGAATATTTTCGCTAGTAATCCATACACTTTATTTACCTTATTACAGATAGCAGCTAGGCGACAATAGGACAAAATGATGCTATTGTGTTTTTACCTTCAGCAGATGTTGTAGGTTCAGTGGAAATAAGAGGCATAACAGAGTGTCCTACCTCTCTCTATGTTTGTCTATCTATCTCCGTCTGTTAATCTCTCTCTCTCTTTATATATATATATATATATATATATATATATATATATATATATATATATATATATATATATATATAGAGAGAGAGAGAGAGAGAGAGAGAGAGAGAGTCCAAGAAAGACATTTGGGTCACTACCACACAAAAAGAGAATGTTTAACATCGAAAAACATAAGGAAAATTAAGTCATTTTAATAATATGTGGAAATATCGACTCTTTGCCTGAAGAAGGTCGCGAGATCCGAGACGTGTGTTGCAAAATTATGGAAAATAAAGCATAATATATATTTTAAAAGATACGTGTTACAGATAAAAACGTTTGCGGTTTCTCTCTTCTTTTTAAAATATACACTTTTCTCTCATTGGAACAACTATAACCTATTCCTTATATATATATATATATATATATATATATATATATATATATATATATGTATGTATGTATATATATATATATATATATATATATATATATATATATATATATATATATATATATATATATATATATATATATATATATATGTATATATATATATAAAATATACACATACATTTATGTATATATAACATACTTTCCTATCTGTCGGTCTGTCTGTCTGTCTATCTATCTATCTATCTATCTTTTCTTCCTTTTTTAATTCTCAAACAAAAGAAAATCGCTAGACAGAGTCAAGGATCAAGGCTATTATGAACAAACCCTCGGTCATGATGACTTGTGACTTCGTGCTAGTATAACAATCGACGTGGGTTAGATACCTGAGTAACCAGTAAGCTATATATGGGAAAACGAACTAACGCAATGTTATGCTCCAAATTTTAAAGGTTCTCATTTCCATAATAGAATAATGAAAAGAATAGATAGATAGATAGATAGATAGATAGATAGATAGATAGATATGAACAGACTTAGGCAGATAATATATTTAGATAATTACTATACTGAGATAGATAGATAGATAGATAGATAGATAGATAGATAGATAGATAGATAGATAGATAGATAGACACTGCTTAGTGGTGCAAAGTTGAGAACTAAATATCTGTCTAAAATAGGTGAGACGCAGTAGGTGGAGATGAATGAGACGTTTAAAGATGATTTTATTTAAAAGTTCAAATATTAGCAAAGATGATGATGATGATGATGATGATGATGATGATGATGATTCCCTGAGAAAAGAAATGTAGCAAAAATAACTCGTGATCTTCTTTCTCTTTTAAGACGATGTCAGCTGACTTCCGGATCTGCGCACGCGTGTATCCTCTCCTAACAATGGCCTCGTCTTTACGTCGTTGCTCGAACGTCCGTCTCACATCAATAACGAGAAAGTAAATCCTGAAAGAAAAAGAAAAAAAAACAAACGAGATAATAACCCCAATAGAATAATCACTACAAAATGGCTGCCTTTTTACTTCATTCACATTTGCGCTCTTGTCGATGGCAGAGCAGCGTGATAGCGGGTGCAAATGAAAAAAGAAAAAAATAATTTATTCGTCACGATTTTATTGTGTTATGTTTTTTTTTTGTTATTTTTTTATCTCGAACGAAGCCAAACACAACGGATATGCCTTTTGATCTTGTCTTCTGTTTTTTTTTTTCTCTCTTTCTTTCTCGCTCTCTTTTCCATGTCGTCTTTTGACTTTCACAACTTCCACATCCGGTAAAAATTAGAAGAGAACAGTAAAGGAAATCAATGGGGAGATAACTGCTTGTAAATTCTTCCCTACCACGCCACGAGTTCATTTTCTGTCTTTCTTTCTTCTTCACAAACAAAATATCTTTCAAATACACTTGTCTTACTGAAACATCTAATCATAATATAAACTACAATGAATTCTATAATCGACCTACAAACGTTCACATCTATAATATTATTAAATATATTGTCATCTCAGTCTGTTAGAACGTAAAAGTTAATGAAGTGTCATCGACAAAGGAGAACGGAAGATGCCTTACTTAATGTAGTGCGAGCCAGATAAAAGGGTTGTATCAGACATTTGATAGAGTATCATACACAAGGATTTTATTTAACTTAAATTGTTTTTGAATATATTTATGATAATGATGACGATGATTGTCAGCAGCAGCAGTCACACGACCGGGTTTCGTCGTAGGGTCGCCGACCATCTCCCTTCATATGTCTCTGTTTCATATCAGTGTCTGAGTCTCTGTGAGTGATCTTCCAGTCCACTCAGTGACATTGTCCAACCATTTTGACTTGTCTGCTTCAGCTTCTTTTGCCTAAAGTGGTACCTTGTAAGATCCGACCTGGGTGAGACGTTAAACTACATCCGCGTCCGGGGTATGACGATAAGCTACATCCGACAGCAGGGCTTCTGATCAGGAGGTTTTGAAGAGCGTGGAACCACCTCTTAAATGCTGGTGTTCCCAGGTCCACCCTGACGCGAGGTGGTAGTACCTTTTAAAATCCCAGTTATGGGCAAATAAGTTGACACCTCCCCAAACTGGGATCAAAACACCTTGAAAGTGTAAAAATAGGTTTTAATACCAGAAATAATTTGTACAAAAATTATTATCGGCAATACATTTTTGAAAAAAAATATTACCAGCAATAAAAATTTTGTTGGCATTAAATAACTCATTGAGTATATACTCATTGCAGATATACTCACTGAGGATATACCCATACTCATTGAGGATATATCGTAAAACAAAGCAAACCGAGAAAGCGATCTTGTAAGATGGCAGCGCAATTCATTTCAACTTACCTTTCTTGGTGATGATGATGAGGTCTTCCAACTAGCCTGTGTATTATCTGTCAATATTTCTGAGATGAGGTATTATGTACATTATTTACATTATTCGGACTATTGTCCTCATTTTGTCGCCATATTTATTACAACGTTTGCCGTTGCTCCGGCCTTCAGGTGGTTGAATGTCAACTGAACCTTTTATTTCCCACTGGGTAGACTGTTCTAGTTCCACATGCCATGTTTGATGGATGTCGGTTATCAGTTATCACCCGTTAATTTTCCTTTTCTGTTCTCCACTGTTTAGCCGAGTATTGAACTCAATTTTTGTCTTGTCACTGGACTAACCGACGCCTTTATCCACTGCGCGATGTGTCCCATGGCACAGTGGATAAAGGCGTTAGTTAGATCCAGTGAAAGAACCCAAAGAGTGTGTGTTCAATACTCAGTTAAGACAGTGGAGAACTTGGGGAGGGGAATTAACAGGTGATAACTGATAACTGACATCCATTAAACATGACACGTGGAACTAGAACAGTCTACTCCAGCGAGCGAAATAAAGGGTTCAGTTCGACATTCCAACTACCTAAAGAAGGCTGGAGCGTACAACGGTCGAAACGTTGTAAGATAATGTAAATAACGAGCCTGTTTATTGTTTGTTGGTGTTTGACACCGTGTTCATTTGTGATGCCGACGATGTAAGAGAGGCCTAGAATGGTTCTTTAAAATCTCATTTCTTATACTTGGATTGTTCACTTCTATTATTGTCAATTTTGCTGTTAATGTCCACGATTCGCAGACGTACATTGGTAAGACCACTGCACGTAACAGTCTGATTTTTTATTTAAATTGAAGAATGTCTTTCAAATGGTTGTTAGTTTTGCAACCGCAGCCATTAGTGATGCTTCTCTTGAAATTATTTCTATTCTGAAGACCATTTCGTTGATTATCGTGCCAAGATATTTTAATTGGCTCAATACTTGAAGTTCGTGATCAAGTCCCTGATCTTAACTGAAAGCCCTATTTTATATATACACGTGAACTTCAGGCAGAATAACTCGAAATAAGTTTCCATTTAGCTCGTTATTAAAAATTATATTTGAAAAATTATTTTCATAATTTTCAAACTATTTTTATTTTCTGGTTTTATTTTTATATTTTGTGTAATTTTTAACAATTATTTGTTAAATATAAAAAAAAAATAATGTTTTCAGTTTTTAGTTTTATGGACGATAACTATCGGAAGTATGCAACACCCTATTGAACAAAGGATCGATCACTGGTTGAAAAAAAATCACCGCTCATTCTACGAATTTTGAAGAAATTTCTTTTTGAAGATCAAGATAGGGGAAAATGAAAATAAATTAATGTACCTGCGTGTATCTATCTCTCTCTCTCTCTCTCTCTCTCTCTCTCTCTCTCTCTCTCTCTTTATATATATATATATATATATATATATATTCGAATACAGGGTTGGTATAAATGGAATAAAATTTCAATAACCAAAACAACTATTTTTTTTAAAAGTGCTCAATACAGTTAATAATATTTATTTAAAAATTAAAACATAAGCATGTCATGAAATCACTACAAAAATAACCATTTTGTTTCAACACTATTGTTGTCTTGTGAAGTGATGGTGTTGATTTCAAAATAAAAAGTATATATATATATATATATATATATATTTCAGTGAGTATCGTAGGTCAAATTTATCCATTATCGTAAAAAGAATGGCGCGAGTGCTCAACCGTGGGGAAGGAAATATATGGAAAGGGGTAAATAAATATATATAATAATTATTTATATATTATGTAATTATTTAAAGCGCTCAGTATCAGAGACAGAGCTAACATATTTTGGTTGGATAGATGTTGTTTTGACCCTGGGTTCACGCTTTAGCGATCGTCAGACAAACTGATTAATGTTTTAAAAAATTGGGTTTATGTAGATTGCGTGTATTGGTGTTATTGTGGAAGTGGTGGGGGAAATTTTTAAAACATTAATCAGTTTGTCTGACGATCGCTAAAGCGTGAAACCCAGGGTCACAAACTCACATCTATCCAACCAAATATGTTAGCTCTATCTCTGATATTGAGCGCTTTTAATAAGTACTGCACATATAATATATAAATAATTATACATATATATATTTATTTATATTTATATACATTTACATATATATATATATATATATATATATATATATATATATATATATATATATATATATATATATATATATATTCCTCATCGGTATCATAACTCTATCGAACACTATTTTATGAAAATGAGTTGACAAAAGTTGTGTAAATTATTCAATAAATCATGTCTCAATGAAAACATGCTGCCAAATATATATATATATATATATGTGTGTGTGTGTGTGTGTGTGTGTGTGTGTGTGTGTGTGTGTGTGTACTCGTCAGGAGGCGTCAGCAAATGTCTCTTAGTTTTCTCGTTTTCGATATTTTCATATTAAATTAAAAAAAAATAATGTGTGTGCTTTTTGTATTGGTGTTAGGTTGATTTTTTCTTTGTGTGTGTATGTATATGTGCTCGCATATGTATGTGTCCTCGCAGGTGTATGCGCGCGTGTGTGTGTGCCTCTATGTCGGCAAATGTCTAAGATGTCGTTCTTGTTTTCATAATTATCTTCTCTCCTTCTACTCTCTCATTATTCTTTTCTCTCTCTCTCTCTCTCTCTCTCTCTCTCTCTCTCTCCTTTATCCTTCGGCTCTGAGTGTCAAAAGATAATTTAACAATGTTATTTCCGGTGTGTTATCGACGACATATATTTAGACTAATTTTCTTCAATATTCTTGGGGTCTTTTAATGATTTTGAAAATATAGTTGTATTCCGTTTTTATTTCTTGTTTAAATATTTTTTAATTAATGCCTAAATGCCGAAAGAGATTTTTGTTTATATATATTTAAACAGATTTCTAGTACTGCCAAGTCTAATCAGACATTTGAGGAATAAAAAATATGGGATCATATTAAACATAAGATACAACAATATCCACGTTTAAAACATAAAATGTAAGGCACCTTTCGACCGACACATTTTCAAACACAATCGTCGGTAATCTAAAACGGAGTACTAACAAGAAAATTTTTATTAATACCGTAATAAAACAGGATGGTAAGCGGGGAGAAAAAAATTGTTTTACCTCAAATCATGTAACGGTTCCCCAAATAAGGCCAACTTAAACTTCATCTCCTGTTGTACGCAGAGGGCCGGGCCTACGTTTATATATATATATATATATATATATATATATATATATATATATATATATATATATAACTTAAGTCTTTGGCAATTTCAACAATGGAAATATTAACAATCAAACAAAGTGTCTGATTGTTATAAAGTTATCCAAGTCTATTACGAAAATGGACATTAAATCAGAAATGCATTTCGCGCACTTCACGATTTTAGGGGTCAGCATAATCGTCCAACCGAGAGTGCAATTGGAAACAATGTAACGTTGTTGTGGATTGCAATACAGCAATGTTTTCAGCTGAACGGCGTAAAGAAGCATGCAATGGTGTTTTAACATCTGCCACCAACCCAGCTTGTTTGAATTTAACAACAATTTTTCCAATTGCGCTCTTGAAACTTTACCACGTTGTTCGATTGTTAATCTTTCCATGGTTGAATTGCCAAAGACAAAAGTGTCAGAGAAAAACAGAGCAGAACCTGACTAAGAAACACATGTAAATGGCTGGCAGAACAGGGATTGGGAGAGGTAGCAAAAAGACAAAATTTATTAAGAGCAACAAATAACAGGAATTTGAGGAGAGACATAATCGCCAACGGGCTGAAGCGACACGGTACATAGAAGAAGAAATATCCTTCGAATAAATGTGGTTTCACGGGATTATTGATCAGTGATCCGTGATTTCAATTCAGCAAGTATACCCCAAACATGAATCCTATATAGATTCAACTTTGACTTCTATCTAGTCAAAATTCTGTTGGCAGATCTACGGCTCAGTTGGCTGTGTGATCCAGAATATAGCTTGTCATTTATTAGGTGTGATATTCAATTTAGAGTTATTCCTCCTCCTTTCGTTTCTCTGTGTTGAAAAACAATCTAGTGTTTCCCAAACTTTTCCAACCAGTGCTCCCTTGGGACACAGACTTTTTTTGTCAATGCCACCATGGCGAATTAAATTGCTAATACTATACTGAATTTATTTTTCATAGCAAGATAACACTTAGGTATTAATGCAAAAATAATTTTAATATTGTTTCCTATTATAAATGTCAATGATTGAAATGTTAAAAAATTATTTGATAGCTTATCTCAATGTTTTCAATACGATGAGTGACTTGGTGCTTACTGGCTAAGTCTCTTACTCTAGGTTCTATGCTGCTTAGAAGTAATCATAAATTTCCTCGTTTTG